TTACCCTATATCAGGAATAGAGAACATTGACTTGACTAGATAATAGAAGTAGGGCATTTATGTCTTTTTACCAAATTATGTCATCCAGGATGTCACCCATTATGTTACCATAGCAAGATCCAAATTTTATTAACAATGCCATCGGATGGACGCACACGGCACAACGGTACCAATTTCTAGCCTAGGAGTAGATTCTTCATAACATTAGTCGTTAAGCATGTGGATCCAAATATTTCTTTAACAATTTTTTATATTATGTGTTTAAATTTAAATTACAAAATTTAGCTCCCAACCTCCCATATCCACTCTATACCAAATGAGAGATTATAAGAATGAAAATTGCATGATATCGTCTCACAAGGTATATTAAGATTCAAAAATTTGTATGAAACTCGACCATGAAATACTATATATAAATTAAAAGGGTATTAAACCACCATTTTATTGTAAAGAAATATAAAAATTGTTGCTTCTTATATTGTAAAAATTAATAGAACTATTTTCATCCTTACAAAAATGTTGATAAAGAATGCAAATAGTTTAATACAAATTACATAGCCCTTGATAATTTATTTTACACACTATAAAATTCTTTGAAAATTTTTAGTTGCTATAATGTATTAATGTCATACCTATAAATCCAAATTGCAATACAGCTATGGTATCAAATAATTTTTGCCGCTTACTGTGTGCTCACTGAATTAATTACTTTCTTATTAACAAAAAATAAAATGTATTATTTCATTAATAAACAACACCAAACTAAGGTTACACCAAAATAAGGTCTGGAATTTCGTTGTCATGACCAGCCCCACCACTACTTAACCTTACGCGTAATACTTTAAACAAACCATTGACCATGACAAAACCAAACAAAACTGAAACCACAGGGGAACTTCTTGCATAGATCTCAGCAAATATGCCGAAAAAAATCTAGCATTAATCAATAAATTCCACCCCCACCACTCTGAAAAATATCGTAGGAAACTCTCAGCAAGAATTTCATCTTCTTTGTTCTTTTACATACAAGGTAACTATTTAATCTAATCCCCTTTTTTGATTCTCGTCTCTGTTTCTTGAAATCTTCTTGATGGGTTTTCCTCATAGAAAATTTTCGTTAGAAGTTAAAATTCTTAAACCTCATAAGGTCGATCATGAGTGCGAGAACAGATATGTTGGGTTAACTCCACCTCCAGTTTCACCTAGCTCAAAGCATCAAATGCCCACCATTTCAACTCCATCTACAGTTTCTCCTAGCTTAAAGCATCAAATGTCCCCCATTTTGATTCTTATGCTTTGTATTCTTGCGGCTGCTTTTGTGTTTCTCGTCTATCTCACAATCCGTAGATACCTTTGGAATTTGAGAAATTCTAGGAGGAGAAATTCACAAACTGTAGAGAATGCTAACAATCGGGAGGATTTTCTTGATGAGAATCAGGAGCCAGTGGTGGATCATCCCATATGGTATATTCGTACTGTTGGGCTTCAACAATCAATAATTGATTCTATTGCGGTGTTTAAGTATGAAAAAGACCGGGGTTTGATTGAAGGGACCGACTGTTCTGTTTGTTTGAATGAGTTTCAAGAAGAAGAGAATCTTAGGCTTTTGCCAAAGTGTAGCCATGCTTTTCATGTACCTTGTATAGATACTTGGTTAAGATCCCATCAAAATTGTCCCGTTTGTCGCGCTCCAATAGTCAGCAATACGAATTCAGCTCCGGTGAGCTCGGTGTTAACAAACTTAAATGATTTAGCTTCGAGGGAAGAGGCTCAAATGGATAGTGAAGTGGATCAACGCGTAATGGAAACAGATGAAACTAGGGAAATGAGGGTTGGGATCGAAAATGGATCATCAATACAAATTGAAGATGGAAAAGTGGCTGACTGTTTGCAAAAGAACTCATTTCGTCCCAATCTGAGGAACAGCAAGCTACGAGTACTAAGTGATTCGGTTGATAATCGGATGAAGTTAGATGAGGAATTGCAACCCGTTAGGAGATCGATATCAATGGATTTTTCTTCTGCTTCAATGATTTATAATGCGGTGGTTGACATTCAGGCGAAAAAAGATGAAGGGTGTTCAGATACTAGACTGGCAATTGTGGAGAAGCAAAATTCAGATATGAATGCAAAGAGGAGCAGAAATTCAAGCATATACAGGCTAATAAAGAGTGCTTCATTTGGGCGTTGCCTGCAGAAAGGGCCTATTCCAATGAAGAGGTCATCTTCGTATATTGCCAAGCACTCCCTGAGAAAGTACAGTGCAAGCCAGGATTCAATCCAAACTCAGGCATGAGATCAAGACTGACGTCGTATATTAATTTCCACTAATAATAAATACTTATAGAATGGCAGAGGCGTATGATTTTGAAAGCGTATTGAATGAGCTGATTAGTCTATCAGGTCATGTTTGGTGGTGGCATGGAATATGGAATTCGAGGTTTTAACAAAAATGAAAGCAGAAAAGTAAATGATTTTGTCCATTTCCCGAAACTCCCATTCCATGTCCACAAACATATTTTGACAATCAGGTTTTTTCTTGAGATGTATTCTTGCATAACTGTGTACAATTGTTGCTTTGGTGCAAAACAAATCAAAATATGGCTTTCTTTCAAGGCAGTATAAATCATGCTGATGTCCCAAATTCTGAATGTTGTGTCAGCTTTGCTTGGAAAAATAGTAACTCATTTTGTTTTGTTTATATTTGTGCTTACCAGACTTGGAGTGTGTTTGATGCACATTAAAATGGAAAGAATGTATTTTTTTTTGTGATGTGATGGTGAATATGTGGTGAAAAAATAAGGAAAAGTTATTGATATGATGGAAAATATTATTTTTTGAAAAATGTATTGTTAAAAATAAGTAGAAGAATGAGAATGTGGCTCAAACAGGGACTTAGTTGCAATGCTATAATGATACGTAACTCTATCAATTAGAGAATGAATTTAAGAAATTTGCGCATTATAAAGTCTAGTCGAGTCTTGTACGCTAAACACAAGTCGGGAAGTGTTAGGATCACATAATGCTGTCTAATTCATTTAGTTTGGAAGTGTGTCATAGAAGGTTGATCCTCAACCCAATAGGCGCAGAGGAATCAATAATTAATGGGTCCTCATTCGCTCTTGTCCTTTCAAAAAAAGCATTTTTCTATACCATTTTTCCCCGCATTTTCCAAACTGAGTCAAAGTCCTCTGGACATTTTGATGCAGGCATAAGCGTGTAAAGAAAATTGAACCTTGCTACACGTACTTGTTGACTTATACTTTGGATTACACTTCCTAATAAAAAGACTTAAATATCCTTCTTCTATCTTTTAATCAAGTCAGGGTTCTCTATTCCTAATATAGGATA